TATCATAATAATATTATTAAATTCATAATTTAATATATTGTTATAATATAATTAAACTAAATTTAGCAGAAAAATATATATATATATATATATATGCATGGATACACCTGAAGTACTCTCGATGATATACTATGAAAGCCTCGTGTCTGTAATGATGAAAAGGAGAATAAATTTGATTAATTATTGAATAAAACGCTAAAATAAATAATATTTTATATTTAATTTGATTAAAATTAAATAATTTGTGTGTTTGTTTGCTTATTTTTTTTATTTTCTTCATTTTTCCTATCATCGAACCGCTGGTCTTCGCTCTGCATGTTGCTGCGGCCTTCTTACAATCTTAAGGGGTAAAATAGTTTTAAAAAAAGAATAAAATTGAATTAAATTAATTAAATTAATAAATTAAATATAAAAATAAATAAATTAATCAAAAAAATAAATTAAACCAAGCAAAAGTTTCCTCAACTTCTAACAGCGATGCAGCTACAGCTGTTTGTTTATCAGTTTGTTTGTTTGTTTGTTTGTTTGTTTGTTCGTTTATTTACTCTGAATATATCATTATTTATATTTTTAGAGGTATTTTCATCTATTTAAACAATAAAATACACTTAAATATACTCTGCATATTATCCTCATCAATATTTCTTCTTGTCCAAATACACAGAGGTTGAGGTCTTTCGTGCAGCAATATTTCTTTTGTCTGCTTCTTCTTTATTTTCAGTCTTTCTTTATTCTTTTATCTCTTTTAAAACTCTACAAAGGTATTATCTGCACACCTCGACAAGACCTCCATCATGCAGTCTCAACGGCTGCTGCTGCAGCAGCAGCAGCAGCAGCAACAGCAGCAGCAGCAGCAGCAGAGCCCCCAACAGCAACAGGAGCACCACCCGCAGCAGCAGCAGCAGCAGGAGAAGGGGCAGAAGCAGCAAGAGCAGCAGCAGCAAGACCAACACCAGCAGCAGGATCACCAGCAGCATCTTCAAGACCAGCATCCAGTACTGCAGCAGCAGCAACAGCAGGAAGAGGCGAAGGAGGGTGAGCAGCAGCAGCAGCAGCAACACCTCCAGAACCATGAGCAGCAGCAGAAGCAGCAGCAGGAGCAGGAACAGCAACAGCAAGACCTTGAGCCGAACGAGCAGCAGCAGCAGCCGCAGCAGCAGCAGCATCCAGAGCAGCAGCAGCAGCAGCAGCAGGACC